ATTACAATTTTTTCGCGCCATTTTTTTCTGTAACATTTCAATTTCTTTTCACAATGTCTTTTTTTTTACAGTAGTATCCCGCTATTTGTGTTCTGAACCCTATTTCTCTTTCATATAATGTCTCTTTAAATATTGCAGAAACTCTACACTTATATATTTTAAAATGTTATGTGTTTTTTAATGTATGCATTACCTTGTCCACCATATCCGAGCTATTACAAACCGATTGCCAGTGGTCTGAACTCGGGAGAACTGAGTGTTAAAGCAATAGAGTTTTTAAATTATTTATGTAGGAGACATATCAAAAGCATTTAACAAAAATGAATTCCGCGCAATATTATGGCTCGTGCNTTGATAAAATTAAATCAAAACAGAATTACAATTTTTTCGCGCCATTTTTTTCTGTAACATTTCAATTTCTTTTCACAATGTCTTTTTTTTTACAGTAGTATCCCGCTATTTGTGTTCTGAACCCTATTTCTCTTTCATATAATGTCTCTTTAAATATTGCAGAAACTCTACACTTATATATTTTAAAATGTTATGTGTTTTTTAATGTGTGCATTACCTTGTCCACCATATCCGAGCTATAACAAACCGATTGCCAGTGGTCTGAACTCGGAGGAACTGAGTGTTAAAGCAATAGAGTGTTTAAATTATTTATGTAGTATTACGTATATATTATTTATGTATTACGTATGGCTTCATTGGAATTTAATCCATTATATAAAGACATCTTATCTCATCTGGTATCATGAAATTAATTAAAATCAAATCGAAAATATCTATAAAATTTTACAAACAGTAAAATTATAGAAAATCTTGGGCAATGCCTCTGAAACAATTGTATGGTGTCTAAAATAACAATTGACATTTTCGGCAGTGCTATCGGTTAAATTCTTGTTCGTCCCTAAATTTTTGTCCAAGCAGTCTGAAAGTTTTGTTTTCTTTAAATTGACTAGGTTCACTCTTAAAAATAAGACAAGGCTCAAGAAATTGACAATGATACAATTGCCCAAATATACGATTTATTATGTTGAAAGACTTCCTAATATTTATGTTCTGTAGAAGTTGGGAGACAAAATCTACCATTCTATGACATTCGGTTATGTTGCATTTTATATGACTTAAGCAATTAACAATGACTGGTAGAGTATAATAAAAATATAATTAATATATGAAGGGCAGGTTTCAAAATAATATAAGTTTAATTTCCAAATTATTTAAGAATCCATAATTGTTCAAACAACCATTTAAGCAATGCATATTTACGTGTATTGTGCTGTCATTTAATGGAAAAAGTACCAATCTGAAAACAATAATCAAGTAGCAGCTCGATGAAAAACTGTCACCTGTGGTTAGTTAAAGTATTGTTGCAAGCCATCTAAAGCCAAATTAGAAATAAATAAAAAGTGAAATCAAAATGTCCTCAATTTAAGATGGACTAAGTAATCCGAAATGAATGCAGAAAAAATTCCAATTTATATTTCATAGTCGTTATAATGGCATTTACTTTTCACAGAAATAATATAACCTTATATATTTTTGCTGTCTGCATAACGAATTTTATATGTAAGAGATGCTTGTTATGTTTAATTTAGTATGCTATATGCATTTCTAATTTAATTATTCTAGTAATATTAAGTTTTATCCCAAAACTGATTTTTTAAATACAAATAGATATTATGACAAACATTAAATCCTGGATTGTTTGGATTCTTTAAAAGCTTAGTTAAGCAATTTTCCAATTGTTGCCTGGACACAACTATTCATTTGGCCAATGCATGCATTCTGTAACAAACCTCAATATCTATCGGTTCAGGAATATATGATAATATTAATTTGAAGTGCATGATTATAAGTTAATATTTATTGGTCATTTTAGGTGAGTTTTACCAAAGTAAAAAGAGTATGCTTAAAAAAACGATTTAAAAAACAGTATGCTTTGAATATTTAAAATTACTTCTTTTCAATCTGAAGTAAAGCTTTCTTATATTTCTTATACTCTATTTAGTATTTTGGATAACAGGAGAGGCATCAGATATATTTAACTTTACTCAATACAGTTGCCTTTGAACGCTATTAATTCTTTTAGATTTGAATTCTTCTGTAAAGTATTTAAAAGAAGAAAAAAAAAACGTTTTATTATAAACTATGTTTTTTGAGACATGATGACTCGGGAGATATAGTGTTTATCTTCAAATGTGATAGACGGATCATGGGTTGGAGTAACGTTGCGTCAGACAAACAGAGTGAGGTTTTCGTGGTTTCCCTCTCCATGTAACGCAAATGAGGATTAGTTCTATCAAAAAGTCCTCCATGAAGGGAAATTTCTCCCAATACTTGATGCAGAAGTTCTCTTGTCTTCTGTTTTGGATTCAAAATTACAAGGAGACGGAGTAAAACATCAGTAGTCGTAAACTAAATGTTTGGTCGGCAGTTCAATGACGGTTACAAAAAATAAATAAACAGATAAAAATTATGCTTTTTACTACTTTTCCTTTAGTTCCGATAGATTTCCGTTTATTGTTTTAATTCTAAATTGAACTTTCTTATTTATTTCATGCCCCGTAAAGTATTTGAGGCGAAAAAAAATTTCTCTAATACAGACTTTCTTTACTACTACGTTATATTTTGCTACCAGAGTTTTCCATTATTTCTTAAATTTGAATTACTTTTTATCTTTTTTAATCACTGCAAAGTATTTGATATGAAAAAAAAATTATGGACATTTTTAACCTTGTTTTTCATTTGCTTATGATAGAATTCTATTGCTGCTTTAAAATCTTAAATGAGTGCTATAAATCACCGAATCCATATTGAAATTTAAAAAAATAAAGATTCGAGGGAATAATTAATGAAGTAAAATCATTAAAATAAAACTGTATGAATATATTATGTATACGATAGTGGTTTTCATATATTTTGAAGAAAAAGATAAATTTTTATAGATTCATCTCACAAAAAGGGTGATGATTTTAAATAAACATTTTATGACTGAATAAACATTTTACGGTTAAATAAGCATTTATAGTTAAATAAACATTTTACGGTTAAATAAAGATTTACGGTTATATAAGCATTTTACGGTTAAATAAACATTTACGGTTAAATAAACATTTTACGACTATCTTTCGTTTCATAAAAGATGCAAGATCCGTACTAATGTTAAAGAAAGACTATTACGCCTTCACAGAATTAAACAAAATAATCTAAAGCTTTATTTTGTTTTTGTTTACCTGTTAATGAAAGTTCGTTGATTAGATATGGAGGATGCTAGGAATTCCTGCGTGCATGCCACTAAATCACGAGCGAGATGATAGGATAAAGTTTCTCGTGTCTTTTCCAGTCAGCCAGCTTTAAAAATTTGATTCCATATATGCGTTTTATCACTTTTATGCACTTCACCAAGATAGGAATTAATGTTCAAGCGTAAAACGACTACGGTTATCTTTGCACGTGCTTCTTTGGCTATGAATCTTCGCCAAAAAAGAACAAATTGCTGTCTCCAATAATCATTATACTTTTCCAATCGAAAAATAAAAGATGAAGATAAAAAAAGGACTTTACATTCTTGTTATTACAATTAATTGTTAATAAAATAAAGTGAAATTCCAGACACACAACGAGGAGATGGAAGTCTTACAGCTTAAAAAATTAGAAACGAAAAGTCAAGTTTCCGTTCCATCAAGTGTTGCCAAAAAGAAATGCTGAAGTGAGGAAAATTCGTCTCAGTTGCAGTTAAGAATTAAATCGATATAAAAGAATCAATTGAGATTTAAAAACCCAACGTGATGAAGTTAATAAAACTGAGAAAACTAAGCTAATATAAATAGGAAATTTTCTTTTTACGATTAAAAAACTATGCAACTGAATTAGCGAAACTAACACCACTATCGTTCTACTCTTTACATTAAACTAATAATTTGAGATTAAAGAGACTGCCTCAGTTTGACATTTTTAATGCATTTTATTTCGTTGAGATAGAATTAATTAATTCTTTTGTACGGTGAACTACGCTTTATCATTCTACGCGTCGCATCCATAAACTAGGAATTATTTGACATTAAAGAAAAGGCCTAATTACAGATAATTTTTTTCTGATGCCTTTCATTTCATTATGATGAAACTCATTCGAATAAAATATTGTATCTGGGGAAGAGCCTGTGACAGAAAGTATTTTAAAAATGTTTCTGATGAAATGAAACGTCTGATGTTCATTAAGCAAATTTCTCGGTTGCAAAATTTATCACTTTGATATATTTGTTTTGCCAGGCAATAAATGCCATGAAATTTTAAATAAAATCTTTGATAATTTTCAGATAAATCAAGGCTAAATATGAAAAAATGAACAAATCTTTTATGTATTCATTTAAATCAAACTAGTACTAAATAAAACAGCAAATCAAAAAAAAATTTATTTATTCCTCAAATTAAAAAAAAAGATAAATTCTCATTCGCACATACTGACTGAAGTCGTACAACAATTAATGTTAAACATTCTCTTTAATGGCCAATTCCTCTAACACAGATGGAAAAAAATCCCGTCGCCAAGAAGGAGTTGTGCTAATTAAACTAAATTTGGTAGGCCAGTTTATACATCTAAAAGATGACGTCTGTTCAAGTTTCGTGCTTGGCGTGTAAGTTTGATGCTAGCATCACCACAGTGAACATACAAATCAGAGTTGCTTTAAATACGCTTTTTACAGTTCGTAAGCGACATTTTTCGTTACATTTTGACATAGTGAGTTGCTTCTAAGTAAAGAATGTCTTTAACTAGATGAAGAAACCATTATCAACAGTTCACTGACTTCGAAAGTGGTCGTGTAATAGGGCTGCGAGAAGGTGTATTTTTTATCTGTGGTATTGCAGAAAGACTGGGAAGAAATGCATCCACTATGCATGATTGTTGACACCAGTGGTCAATGGAAAGTACTGCTTCAAGAAGACCAGGCTCTGTGTGGCTATGTGGCACTTCAACCATACGCCGTGTACGGACTATGGCTGTGACGTCCAGTGCTGCGTCTGCATCAGATATTCGAATTGCTGCTGGCACTGCAGTGACAGAACGAACTGTTACAAACCAGCTACTTCAAGTTAGGCTCAACCAGCTACTCAAGTTAGACTTCCAGTGAGATGCTCTCTTGCTTGCATTCCTTTCACTCTAAACCACTGTCATTTACTACGTGAGTGACGTCAAGTTAGAGCTCATTGGAGGACAGAGTGTTTTATGGAGAACAGAGACTATAGTGTTTTTCGTTGAAAGTTGGTTCTGCCTAGGAACCAGTGATAGCCGTATATTGATAAAAAGGAGGTGAGGTGAGGACTTGCTACTGACCAGTCTCCGGCCTAGACACACTGGACCTACAGCTGGAGTTGTGGTGTGGGGAGCAATTTCTTATGATAGCAGAAGCATTCTCGTAATTATTCCATGTACCTTGAATGCAAATTTGCACGTCACCCTGGTGATTCAACCTGTTGAGTAGCCATTCATGAGCAGCATTCAAATGGGTATTTTCTACCAGGATAATGCTCACCCTTATACTACTGTTGGAACGCAACATACTCTACAGAATGTCGACTTATTGTCTTGGCCTGATAAATCACTAGATTTTTCCACAATCAAGCACGTATGAGACATCGTTGCACTACAACTTCAGAGTCATCTACAACCAGCATTAACTATCCCCGTATTAACTGACTAAGTGCAACAGGAATGGATCTCAATCCCACAAAATGACATACGGCATCTGTAAGACACAATGCATGAGCGTTTGCATTCTTGTATTCAAAGTTCTGCTGGTTATAACGGTTATTAATACACCAGGATTTCACATTTGAAATGTTTTTTCTCTTAATTGCTTTAACCAGTGATCTTAAAACTTTATTCAATTAAATATGTTACTCAGATGAACAAACGCATTGCCGAAACTTCATTACTCTGCGATAATTTTTTCTTGATCTTTGGATTTCTCTATCTTAAGAAACAGTATATATATATAT